AGACCCACATTATCTCGTGTCGTGCACACAGTAGAGATTGTGTAATGAAAATTACGACGTAATGTAATTATTGAGACTGTGTTTCATCGTCCAGAAGCAGTAGGACATATCAAATGACTAATTAAAAATGCCTGAAAAGAGAGCAAGTACGTAAAGTGTTTCATTCTTCCCCCACCTGGCCCTATCGCTTTGACGCCGGTTACACTATTTAGACACATTTCAATAAGTAGTCTCCCTACGTCTCACTCGCCTCGAAGATGATGCGCAGCGACTGTCCCGGGTAGATGACGACGGTCCGGCTGACGGGGATGTAGATGGGCAGCCGCGCGCGCATCCTGGACGGGATGCACCAGCGCACCGAGTGCGAGTACACGAGCCGCTCCAGCGTGCTGAGGAACTCAGCCTGCTTCACGAGACCACGCTTGCGGCCCTTGGTCTCGAGCGTGGCGATGTCCGACACGGCCAGACCCACCAGCAGGTTCATCAGCACCACGGGCACGAGCAGCAGGAAGATGAAAAACAACATGCGGCCGACGATCGTGTCGTTGGAGCCGGCGAAGATGTCGCCGTAGTCGAACTCGGACGTGCCCATGACGATGGTCTTGCCCATGGACTCGAGGAGCGTCGGGAAGGGTTCTTCGCCCCGGAACTGCACGAAGAAGCTCAGTCCAAAGCCGACGATGAGGAAGGAGAAGGTCAGCAACATCTGCGAGCGACAGCGAAACGACCATCAATGGTGAAGCAGGGAGCCCATTCTGGTGGAGAGGGACCTCCGACCGACGTGTACTTCACTCAAAACAAGCGATGTACACAGCAGTGTAAAATCAGCTACCTTGATTACGTTGATGGCCACTTTGTAAAACATGAGCACACGGAGGCCCCAGCGGGGGAAGCGGCACAGGAGCAGCAGCAGCTCGGTGTAGGCCATGAGCACGGCCAGGGTGGTGACGTGGCGCTCCCAGCGGTCCCCCAGGCGGCCGCTCCGCGACTCGTACGGGACCCCACCGACCACCCCGCCGCCGTTGGCACCGGCGGACGACGCCCCCGCGGACTCGAGGTCCGCGTTGGCGACCGCCCCGTCCAGCGAGGCGTCCTCGGCCGCCGTGGGGACTGACACGGTCGGCGAGGCGGAGGCCGACTGCAAGCACAGCAGTACGGGCAATGATTACTGCTCCAAATGTGATCATTATCAACAAGTGATCATGTGTACCACTCACCTCCACGCCCTCGAACACGACGAAGGCCACGACCACGGACAGCGATATGGCAATCCACTTGAGCCACGACTCCAAGTCTCGGATGTACATCAGACGGAGCTGGATGAGGTGCAGCACTTCCTGAAGCAGATAACCCGTGTCAAACGCATATGGTGGTCACTCCGTGTTGAACAGACTGCAAAAGCCACTTACCTGTAGAGCTATTATCACAGTCGTGACGAACACGGCCACGCGGGCCACCTGTACGCCCGCGCCCTGGTCGCCCGCCCACCAGTAGATCTGCGCCACAAGACCCGTGAGCGCGCACACGAAGAGCACGTGCACCGCCACGATGGCGTAGAAGAAGGGCGCCATCTTCTTCCACTTGAGCGTGAGGAAGCTCTCCACGAGCGGGTGCTGCAGTAGGTTCTGCTGGCCGAAGTAGTTGCCGCTCTCCAGGATGGCGTCGATGACACGCATCTGCCGGCGGACCTGGTGCACGCCGCCGTGCTGGTGGGGCTCCTCTCCCCGCAGTGGACAGGCCTCGCCCCGGCTGGACTTGGGCAGGCCCTGCCCGTCCTCCGTCTGGCACAAGCACATGTCGCGATGACGTGTCGGTTTACAGAGAATCAGGAGGTCAATGCGCGGAAGAAAAGATTAGCCAAATAGCTAAACAATAGCAAAAGAATTCAATAAGTAACTAGCTCTGCCGGTAAACATTTTGGTGTGTGGTTCAAAATTTAGATATGTAGCAGAAGCTATTTTTTAGTAACAACGCGCCTAATAATTACTTATTTCTCGTTTAGCTATTGGTTTGGCTGTACAGCTAATATTTTTTTCCCGCGCGGAGACGAGAGTGAGAACATACCGGTATGAGGATGTCATATCGGACGTCGATCTGGGCGCGGTGGTCGCTCACGGGGTACTCGTTGAGCGCGATGCTCTCGTCGAGCAGCTCCTCGAGGAAGTCGACGGGCTTGGCCACGCTGTGCACGAGCAGGGACAGCGCCGAGCACGAGCGGTTCTGCTCGTCGCGCACCCCGGTGGCGAGGTCAGCGCCCTCCTTGATCATGAACCGCAGCACCTCGCGCTGCGCGAAGTGCGCCGCCATGTGGATGGGCCGCCACTCGCGCCCGTCCTTGGTGGAGAGCAGCTTGCGGTCCGCGTGCACCAGCAGCGACACCACGCTCTGGAAAAGCGAAAGTCGGGCGGCTTGATGAAGGTGCCGTTAAAGAAGATTCAAGGAATTCAGGAAATCCATAATCATAATCGCTTGTTGTTGTGCGAAGAGAAAGAAGATGGCCCCTTCTCTTTCTCATAAAAAGGAAAGAAAAACAAAGAAAAATTAGATAAGTTTTTAAGGAGGATTTCCCGCAACAACGACTGAATGAACAGTGACCCCACAGTGAAGGTAAGTACGCTCCCCGAGCTGCGAAGTCCCCCTCCGGGCGGGCCGCCGACTCCACACGGCTGCTCGGCGGGTCGGCCTACCCAGCGCGTGGCAGGCGCTTGGCGTCGCGTCGCCTCGTGAGACGTTTAGCGGGAGGACATCTTCAACGGCACCGAATGTGTCGAGCGAAGATTGTAGACATTCAACATGAACCCCAAATACACGAGCGTTAGAATACGACGCTATGGCGCCAGTGTCAGGCGTTGACTAATCCCTCCATGACGTCACGGGGGGTGTGTTGTGTGTGTTTCTATACTAACGATGTGACCGTACTGCGCTGCGAGGTGCAGGGCGGTGGCGGCGTACAGCGGCGCCTCCCGCACCGTCCTGACGCGCGGGTTGCTGCCGTTGCGGATGAGCACGTCCACCACGGAGTCGTGGCCGTTCTTGGCCGCCATGTGCACGGGCGCCAGCCCGGGGTCCTGCGCGCCGCTCTGCAGCGCGTCCAGCAGCGAGCGCTCCTCCACCGACACCGAGCTGCCCAGCCGGTCAGCCAGCAGCCGCACCATCTCCTCGTGCTAGATTGATCGAAAAAAAAATCAAGGGAGAATCAGGCAACTTTTTCAAAAATCAGAAAAACCAATGAAAAAATCAGAAAAAAAATCAAGGAACTTCAGGAAAATCTGTGTCCGCTCTAATTTATAACAATGAACCTCTCGCTCGGTCGAGCCTCACCTCTGACAAGTTTGTGCTGTTGTAGAGCTGCACGGCCCGGTGCACGATGTTGACGCCGTCGGGCAGGGTGTGCGTGAGCCTCGCGCCCGCCTCCATGAAGCGCTGCACGCGCTCCGTGCTGCTGGACTCGACGGCCACGAAGAGCGGCGTGAGGCCGTCCTCGCGCTCCGCGTCCAGCACCTGCATGGCCTCCTCGATGGAGAGCAGCTCGCGCAGCAGCTGGCTGTCGGCGTGCGCCGCCGCCTCGTGCAGCACCGTGGCGCCGCTCAGGTCGCGCGCCGCCACGTCCGCGTTGGCCAGCAGCAGCTCGCTCACGCCCTCGTTCCACTCGTTCACCACGGCCATCATGAGCGGAGTGGCGCCCGTGCTGTTTGGCACGTTGATGGCGGGCTCGCTCGCCTTCATCTGCACACCAAAGGAAATACAAGTTACTCCCTGAAACCGTACTTGTTTGGCACCACTCGCTTTTAACCAAATGTGGTAGGACCAATCAAACTAAGCTAATCTTCACTATTTCTACATCACCAACACGTTTAGAATTTGGTTTACAGAGAGCTAAAATTTAACCGGTTTTAAATTTGTTGTCATGCACTAAACGGGTTTCTGGGTGCATGATTGCACTTTGACCTACAGTATTGCCCCGATCTAGGCTGCCCCGATCTAAGCTGAAATTTTGTGGCGGTCCCTGCTTACGGAAGGGGGTTTACAACCTTCCGAGCTCGCGCGAGCTCGCCGGCCGGCCGGTAGACAAAGCATTTACAACTGGCTGGTGCCCGGGCGCGCGTCGTCACAATAGACTGGCAACATGTGGCTAACTTTCGGGCCGTTCTCTCTAAGCTGAAGTCCGGTCCTGATTCCCCAGTCAAGATCGAGGCAGCACTGTATATCGTCCACGACATTCGGTCCTGTATAACTAAAGTTCGACACCACAGAATTATCAGGAGAGTACGGGAAAAAAAGGTGCCAAAAGGGTCGATGGAGGGTCAAGTACTAATAGGGCGCACCCTCTCCTGTGTGGGTTCGAAGATGATACACAAATATTGAAGTTGTATTGACCCGGCGGACCCACGTATTAAGGGGGCATCCTAGTGTAGCGGGCCTAAACTAAGGGTGATTTGCGTAATTAATTTTAGAGAACACACAGTTTTAAAAGCAAAACCGAGTATACCGTTTTCTAGCGCATACTTTTAACTATAAAACGCAATGTGTATGACGTCGTTACGCCTACCCAAAGCTCCGATATCCCCTGTT